AAAGACTGTTTCTTTTTTTATCTGCTTTGTTAGCTGTAGAGATTGTATTCTGTAGCTCTTTTAGTTCCTCTCCTTTGGGTTGGTGTCATCAAATATTTTGGTCCGATTAAGAGTTGAGAGCTTGGTGTAGTCAGCAATTCCATTCCTGTGGAAACAGGTTGCAGAATCCACGTTTTCTGCTAAAGCACCTGCCAAGTGTTGACTGGCTGTAACTGATGCTGTACAGGTAGGATCTTTCGGACACCTTAAACTGCTGCCTGAGAGGTGTGTGGAACAGGGGCAAATCCAAACCGAGAAATACGTCAATGTCAGTGGTCAGTGCGAGGGAGGATGGGGCTCCCTTGCTTGCTTCGGGAGACTTGCAACTTCTCCCTTGCATTTGTAGAGCAGAGTGCTGCCTTTTCTTTTTCCTCGGGAGTTCCTGTAAGGAAGGGGCTTGGGTGCTTTCCATTTATACCGAGTCAGATGACGACACGCAGCATCTCTGCTTTATCTCCTGAGAAGTGTGAGAGTTCTCAGAACGACGCTGCCGCTCACTACCCAGGGACACCATTGTGCAAAAGTGGTAATAAAGAATGATCTCCTCTTAACGAAGAAGACAAAACAAACTAGGCAGTGACTCAGAAGGAAACCTAGTGTTCTGAATTTTAATGGCTTGCTTAGTATTGGAGAAGCCAAGGAGCTTTTCTTCTTTTACTAACAGCAGAACGGAAGGAGTGAATTCTAGTGTTAAAGGGGGAACGCTGGTGCTAGGAGAAGGACGGTTTTAACGCTCAGTCTTATTTTGTACAGGGACATCTCTAAATTTGCCATGCATTACATCATAGAAGAAATAGACGAAGATACGTCCATGGAAGATTTGCAGAAAATGATGATAGTAGCTCTCATCTACAGATTATTAGTCTGCTTCTATGAGGTAACTACTCATAAACATTAACTTCTGTAATTGTCAGTTGTTGAATAAACATTTTAAAAAATTCTGTCACCACTGGCCTATGAAGTAAATCCTCTTTACAGTATTCTGGATTGTGTTGAAGCTTATGACATTCACATACTTTGGAGGAGAACCAAGTTTGCTAGACCAGCCAACAATGTGGTGGTGTCTGGTATTGAAGTAACTTTTCTTTTACAGATAATCTGTATTTGGGGAGCAGGTGGAGCAACCCCGGGGAAATTCTTGCTTGGGCTGCGAGTCGTGACATGCGATACATCTGTGCTTATTGCGCCCAGCCGTGTGTTAGTCATTCCATCTTCTAATGTCAGTATGACAACGTAAGTGCTCTTAGCTCGGTCACGTTGCTTTCAGGTTAATAGTGTGGGAAGCGTGCGATTTGGAAGGAAATGCACCGTTTCTGTATTATTGGCCTTTGCGGTAATTGGATTGCAAGAGCTTTTGTTAGATTCTGTGATCTAAGAATAAAATAGCAATTATTCAATCATGTGAATATTTTTCCGATTAGGTGGTAAAATAATCTCCTCTGAACCCTGGAGATTGCTTTTTTGTGCTGTGCAAAACTGAGGCGCTAAACTTGAAAGTAAACTAACGACTAATACAAGCAGAAAAGTGAAAATGAGGCACTGAATGTTTTATTCTCATTCCAGGTCCACAATACGAGCTTTGATCAAGAATTTTTCTATTGCTTCGTTTTTTCCTGCATTCATTACACTGCTGTTTTTCCAGCATAACAGAACCGCCTACGATATCGTAGCAGGCACTATTGTGGTAAGAAGAAATGGAGTCAGATGATACCAAGTGGTGAGATTTCCAGACTGGTTTTGAGCATCCCCTCCCACCCCCAGTGAACAAAGACCTACCCCAAAACTGAAATTGAGGTGTCTGTCGGAATCTTTTGCCCCAGTTAAACGGGAACTGATTCAGAAGCTGAAGAAAATGTTTTGCTCCGTTATGATGCCAGCAGCTACCTTCAAAGTATTGGAGTTTCCATAAATGCCAAAGAAATTTGGGAGAAAGGAGACCTGCTAAATCTGGGCGTGTCAGCCTCCGACTGACGAGAAGCGGCTGTGTTCCCTGCAGAAAGGAGCTGTGCTGATCGCCAGTCTGTGCAAAGCAGGCACCTAGAAATACTCCACCTTAAAAGAAACCTCGCTCCTACGGGTTTGGAGGTTGGCAGGTAACTAGAAAATCAGGTGGTTTTCCAAGCAGTTGCCGGAGTCGTATGAGAAACTTGGAGGGGAAAAGAAGGGCAGTATTAGACAGGCAAATTGCGTTAAACTGCCGTGTGTGTAGGAGATGAGCAGTGGTTATCGTGTCCCGTATTATTGCTTCACAGATCGTATTCCCTCGCCTCGTCAAGTATTTTATCAGAACATTGATGTGAAAAGTTTTTTGCATGATTGTCTCAAGCACTGCCACTTCCTTCTCACGTCAGAGCTAATAGGGAGGTGAAAGAATAGCTGCTTGTTCTCTGGGCAGGGTGTCACGCTGCAGTGTTAGTGAAGTGCCGTCTGTAAATAGTTCTGGAGCTACAACAGTACAGACCATGCTGACGAGAGGTAACTTTGCTGCTGCTGTTTGGAGTGAGAGCACTTGGCTGTTTCTTGCATATAATGCCGAGCAAAACAAACGACTCTGTGTTTCAGGAGCATGCCAAAAATGGGAACTGAACTGTGTGCTATGGGTGTAAATCTACACAAGTACAAATACCAGTTGTTTTCACTTTATAATTCTGGCCAATTGTTTGTATATTCAGAGTAACTTAAGTACTGAATAAAGAAGCCTAATATTTTGCATGACTACATAGCTTTGATAACTTGTTTATTCTCATGCTGTTAGTATCTTGGGAAAGGAATATAAGCACCAATGTTAATGTTTTATTAAAATTTCAGTAAGAGTTTGGAATTCTTCCGGAGCCGGTTTTTGTGTGTTCCTCCCTTAGGTGTAACTGGCCCTGCAGGGGCTGAAATTCTCGCCCTGCTTTCGCTGTGGGACAGTGGTTTGGTTGACAACAGAAATGGTTGAGAGCTTGGTTCTCTCTCTTGTCCTCAGGTGAAATAACTTCCTTCGGCAGCATTTTAGTTTGACAAGGGCTGTTCTTCTGTGTATGCATTCTGGTCACTTACAATGACGTTTTGGGACCAGACCCACTGCTGAACAGGGGAGAACGATGTTTTCCCATCCGTTACCTCCCCAGCATGAAGCCATCACCTTTTTAGATAATGACTTCTTGGTACTTCTGAAGTAAAAAAAAAAAAATAAAATATTATTGTCTTGGCTACAAACCTGATTTTAAAGTCTTTGCATAATCACACAGTGTATCTGTATCAAAATACCTCACCAGTTTGAGGGTTACTATTGTTTTACACTAATAACTTATTACCAAACAAAAAGACTTTGGTATCTTCGGTGTGCCATTAGCATTATAGCAACGTTACCGACACTCACCACCGAAACAGAAACATGTGAGTAATCAATGGCAGTCAGCAGGCCTGGGGAAAGCTGCCTTTTGAGGGGGCAGGACCAGGCGAAGGGACGATGTTTAGCTGAAACAGAACTTCAGGGACACCACTGCACTGCTGAGGTAAGTGCTGATGTGAGCACTGCCGTTACCCGCTTAGGCGGGGCCATCAGCCTGACGGAAGCCTGAGATGTCAGAAGGAACTCCGGTCCCTTCCAGAACACAGAGCCTGCCCACGGAAGCCAACGCTGGCTTTTAGTTTGTCTCTTAGGCAGGCTGCATTGAAGATGCAGCCCTTTCCTGTTGGTAGGAGGAGTACTTGGCAGGTGAGGAGCAAAGGAAAAAAGAGATTTGTGGCATTTTTCAGATGTCAGCATCTGGAAGTACATAATTACATGTAATCCTTCCACAGCTACACGGGAGGATGCGACTGCCTGAATAGCAGCTTACGTGTGTGTGGTTTTAAAGTCCACTTGCTGAATATTTTCTATTTACAGAAGCACTGACCGGAGCTCTACGCTGGTAAGACCCCCACGAACACCGCAGTTAGCCTCTGGCCTCCTGGCAGCGCTAGGTCAGGGTGAGGCAAAGACTCTCATTTGGGAACACCCGCACCTGTAGCCGTGCGCCTGCTGAGCCGGGCAGGGCAGGGCAGGGGGGAGCCAGTAGTGCCTCTGCAGCCGCTAAAAGCTGATGTGGTTACACGGGGCCTCTCCCTTCCAGCTGGAGCAACTGACCCGATCTCAACTATAACCTGAGGCTGGGGCTTAGGCAGAGCTCAGCCCCAGGCCCCTCCCAAACGCAAGCGTTTCCTCTTGTTTTTAATTCAATAATGGCTGCCCTCCAAGAAGCTCCTCCAATTGCCACAGAAGTGGGGAAAAAACCAAATTACAAGTGCGTGTCCTTTTTCCTCTTCAGTTAGAGTGGTGAATGTTTGTAACATCAGCTTTTTTTAAATAGCTCTACAAAAATTACCTGGCTCCAAGCTTAAGTCTACAATAAAACTCACCTTCCTCCCAGGAAGGATTTAAATGGGCGTTGGCGTCACTCTCAAAAAGCAGAGGTTAGAGAACGTGTGCGACATGGCTCGGGGTGAGCAGATCATCGCATGCAGCTGCTGTTGCCTTCATGGAGAGTTAAAACTGCCAGACAATATTTCATAGTTTTTATTGATGGCATTTATCCCATGGTTTAACATGTTAATTATACTGTAATAAACATGGCTTTAATATTAAACTTTTCCTTATTATCCAAAGTCACCACAGTCCATTTCAGTAAATATAAAAATATATACTTAATACTTTGTACAATACTGGTTTTTGGTCCAAACAAAAATGGATCAGAAAAGCCAATAAACTTACTTTAAGAATTCCCAATTTTAAAGATTTTCTAAATGGATTTAGGCAACTTTGAATAATGGGATTTACATAAAATCTGAGACAATACTAAACAAAAATGGCCGTAACACACAAAATTAAAATTTCAATTTCACAGATTTGTTATGCCAAAAAAGTACATAGAGAAACAAAATTCGTATTTACACATGTTTCATAATAAAATAACGAAGGCGAGACAGGTGATAAAGGGCTGTAAGAATGAAAATATAGAAATAGCATATCATTCTTAAATGAAGAACTACAGATCTAACAAGTCCTTAGCACGGATCATCCTTTAATCAGTCTTCCTCTAGCAGAAAATTTTAGTGCACGATACACCCAAACTCACTCAACTTCACACATACACCAGCACAAACTCGGCATCGAAACCATTCGTTACCAACAGTCTCTATACAGCGTCCCTCGCGGATCTTACAGCGTCGGTAAACGCGGATGAGCGCACGTCGTGGTGCCGATGAGGAGGTATTGTACAAGCCGTTGCTCCGCGGGCTCTGCTCGCGGCTACGGCCGGACCAGGCCCAGTCAGCGAGAGAAGGGACTTGCCGGAGCCAAACGTCGTTTCGCTTGAGAAGGGCCCTGGTGCCAGCTTTATTCGTTACCAAACCAAACTTAACGGGGTGGGGCGGGGCAGAGCGGGGAGGGCAGCAGAGTTGTATGTTCCTTTAGGCAGATCTGACTTCAGCTAACCTGGCGTGAGGTACGATCCCAACAACTGAACAATGCAGGGCAGGAGCTGCTTCGACAGTTGCTTTGCCAACCGGGCGATTATTTTCTACGTCTAACTGCAGTCTTTATCTTCCGACCAGAAACTGAAGATCCGGAGGCAGAGAAAACATTTTTCCCATTAGTCCTAGCAAAAGAAATGAGTAGTTGAGAGTTTAGGACAGCGTAGCTGAAAACGCAGTAGCAGCCCTGAGCCGATACTCCAGAACAACTGTGTCATAGTCTTGTCTCGCTCGTTACCGGCTGGCAACAAACGGCACATGACGAACAGGAGGAAGGGAGTTCCAGAAAGCAAAGGCAATTGCATCTCTCTCACTCAGGGGTAAGGAGCAGCGTAACGGCCAGACAGGATTCTACCTTTCAAGAACAAGACAATGTCACGTATGCCGCTACGTGCCATTTCTGACAGCCGGGCTCCCTTAACGACAGCGTGGCTGAGCTCACCCATCAGGCTAGCGCAAGGCCGGACGCCCGCTTTGGGTTCAGACTCCACGGGTCATCTGAGCCCCTCATCATTTAACAGCAGCAGAGGCTGAACACCGGCCACTCAGGCCACCCCAGGCTCAAGTCAAATTCCGACACGGTCGCTTACCCCACTGTGAACGCTGGAGGCTGGCTGAATGAAAATCCCGATGAGCCTGAAGGCTGGGCCGGTGCTGCTGGCGCAGGAGGGTTTGCACCGAAAGTGAATACGCCTGGGTTATTTGGAAAGTTGAAATTAGAAGTATTACTTCCAAACTGGAACACGGAACCTGGGAAGATGGGGTGGAAGCAGAAGGGAGTAAGAAAGTTGAAGTTCGAGTTCATCCTTTCCAGCAAAATCCTCATGTTCTTCCCAGGGTCTTTAATGCATTATTTTTTTTTACAGATCCCTCAGGACAACAAAGTTGGGGAACGGGGGTGCACCAGAAGCGCCAGGTGACCACAGGAAGGGTGTGCAGAGGAATTAATTCACTTGAACAGAGAATCATAAAGGGATTCTTAAAGTAAGGCCGCTGGCACACTGATAGTGAATTCTTTGCCAACTTCTCTACCACCATTACGTTTATACCTGCGCATACCGAAGTTTATCAATAAAGCCGTAAATTACAGTACTGACTCATGTCGATTTATACTCAAGTTAACCTTCCTGTGTTCATACAGTTGATCTGGGGACTCCCTTTCACTTAACGTGCTAACGCAGCACCTCATGTTAAAAAAGGAAAAAAAATTCCTACCATCAAAGTCACTGATAAGCACCACAGACAATCCAAGGAGATTTTTGTCTCTGAACTGCTGCCCAATTAATGCAAGACTGCCCGAGTAGCACACCCGTGGTGCGCCAGCCAACCGACCGAGGAGTACAAAAACATCGGTTGCTTCTAACGGAGGCTATTTTGTCTAACTTCTGAGAGGAAAAAAGGAGGCTTTTCCCTGTAAGTGTTTGACATGATGTTATCAAATCCTTACGTTCTGGCAGGGTTTTTCTTTTTTTTAGTAATTGCTAACATGGGACAGGCCCTTCTTACACTTAAATTATAAGAATCGTTCTCTGCCCCCTTCCCACGGTATTTTATACTTCATTAGTAAAAAGAACTTTGAATAAAATCTTAACCCATAAATGCTTAAAAATAATTCTGACCATATTCTTAACACAACAAAGCCCCCAGTCCACACAAACTGCTAAAGCCTATTAGCAAAGTCAGATAACTCAGAACTACTATAACAAATCCAAAAATAGTAATTTTGCAGTGCTGCTGCCATTCTGGTTTGTACAACCTTACCGGTGAATACTCCACGGTTTTCAACACTTCCTTTTAATCCCCAGATTTCTCAAGACAACGAGCCCCAGTAGTTAGTGGTAGGGTTGCAACCGCCAAGTCTCCTGGGGAGGAGGCTTGCTGCGAAGCTGGCATACCTACGGCACATCCGCCGCAGTCAGGAGTGAGACACAACTGACCGAACTTTGTACCTGTTATTTTTCTCGAGGGTAATTCTTACACTTAAGTACGTGTGCAAGGCAGAAGTCTTCTTTCTCCGTATAATTTAAGGTACACTTCATGAAAAAGGAAATGAAATACCATCTTTGAGACCAAAAGGGAAGAGGATGGTCGGCACTCACCAGCACTGGGGGTAGCAGAGCCAAAGCCTGGCTGTTGGGTCGCCGGCTGTCCGAACACAGCGGGCTGAGTACTGCTCGTCACCGAGCCGAAGGCAGGAGGAGCAGCAGGCTGAGCGCCAGCCGAAAACAGTGTTGTCGACAGCGATCCAAAACTTGGAGCGCTCGGCTGGCCAGACCCTTGGCTCTGGCCAAATGCTGGTGGCTGACTGGCGCCAAAGGCTGGGCCGGCGGCAGGCGCTGGAGGCCCAGAGCCAAACAGAAACGAAGAGGACGACCCTCGGGGAACAGAAGAGAAATGTCAGTATATGTTAGGGTTTTTTTCCCCCACCTCCCCAAGAATGAAATCTAGAGAACAAAGGTTCTAAAAGCCCGTGTTTCCCGAGGCTGGTAGCTGAAGGCTCATCTTCATGTCACACCATCACAGAATCGATTTGGTTGGAAGAGACCTCTGGGATCACCGAGTCCAACCTTTGCCCTAACCCCACCATGTCAACTAGACCATGACACTAATTGTGCGAGCGTATAAAACAAACATCACATCGGCTGTAACAGGAATCGCACCTTTTCTTGTAAGAAAGATGAGAAACGCCATGTTTATGGGACTCAGACAAAATTGCACCTCAAGCACACTGGCTGGATTCACGTTACTGCGTTAAGATTCACGTTCTAGACACAGGCTCCCACAAACAGTACCTTTTCATTTGTATTTACTAAAAGCTGTTCAAATCACACACACAGAATATTCAGTCAAACTGTATTTTTCAAACACATAAAATACAGCTCCTGATTTATCAGGATCAGGAGAACGCGAATCTTTCTTGTCAGCAACAGCACCCCTCCGTGCCCAAGTGTTTACCATCGTCAACTTCTGGAGGACAAATCAAGCTTGCAGTGATCGCTGTACTCAAAAACTCGGTTTAGCAGAGTAATTCCCTGTGTAAGATCAACAGCCAACTGGCTCATTTATTTAGCTGCTGCGGTTCTGCGTGGCCAGCAGAAATAATGAAATAAAAATAGGTGACTGACCAGGGACTCTGAACGTACACAGCAGATCTGCTACGCAAAAGGGGACGTTTCAAACAGCACTATTAACGCAATTTAAGCAGCCTTCATGCGACAGAAAACACCCACTATTGCACCATAACTTGGAACAGCTGCCTGTTTTTCTTCCCAAGAAGATGAACAGATACACAGCAAAAGTTCATGTAGACTTCTGCATTAAAAAAAAAAAATCCTTTTTGAAGATGTTTGAAATATGGCATTGCCTACTAACAAAATGACACCAAAAGTTACTGATTTGTAAGCAGGTTAAATTGATCTGCTGGTTGTTATCGTTTAGGACTGTTTTCTCTCCATTTCTGATACACAAAAATGTGTGCAAATTTAACTTCTGTGAATGACAAGGTTAAGCGATCAGATCAAACTAGATGAAGTCTCTTCTTCACAGGTTCAATCTTATTTCCAACATACTGCTGGGCTAGCAGAAATACAGATGATTTGGCGAATTTGGTCTCGTGTCATATTGCTAAATTCATGCAGTGGGGTAACGAACATAAAATGTGAACAAACCTTATAGATTTCTATCTTGGTCTTCTCTGAATTGCAAGAAAAAATTAACAAACACTGGCCATAATGCCTATTAGAAACCAATCCTTAAGCAGCCGCACTTGCATGTAGAGGTACTGTGTTGATACACACTTGTGAAGGAAGGGTTTTGCAAATCTTGACATTATTTACAACGGCTGAGAGTTTTAGGTACAGGAGAGAAAAATCAGGAAAGCTGTAATTCACTGACTTCTAACTGTAAGCACTGGACTGACAGTGAGAGGAAAGCAGCTGTCATTCTCATGGTGAAAAGTTCCTACAGAAACTGAGATCCAGTAAAGGGTTGTCCTTTGCATAAAGCAACGCTGCTGCCAGTTCATTCTTGAACTGTATTTCCCAGACAGTGAAAAACTGAGCCCCAATTTATGTTGTTGAATGTAAATACTCGGTATTTTTCTCTACTTCCATGCATTTGGCCTACGCATTCTCCAAAGTAAAATTTTCATCAAACTGTATTTCCTTGGTCCCTTATGTAATGGCAAAAATGAGAAGAGCATCTATTTATGATGTACCTGTTGAACTTGATGTGGTTGTGGCGCCAAAGGTAAAGCCTGAATTTGCTGTGTTGGTACTGCTGGCTCCCGAACCAAAGAGAAACGAAGCAATAGCTGTGCCGGTGCTGGAAGATGTGGTTGCTGGTTTGTTTTCTTGAGAGAAGCCAAATGACTGGGATGCTGCAGATTCTGCAGAACTGCCAAAAACAGAGCTGCTCACAGTGTTGCTGGGTTGTCCAAACACGAAGGGAGTGGGAACCGGCTGAGGATTTGAGGAAGAGATGGCGCTGCCAAACACACTGCTGCTGTTGGCTGAAGTGGTGGGTACGACTGTGCTGGAGGAACTAGAGCTCAAGAAGCTGAAGGACGGCTTTGCTGCTCCTTGATCTGAAAGGAAGAACAGCACATCAACCACCACAGAAGTGCCAAATGCAGCGCAGCAAACGGACTCCTGCTTCAATCACCGCACAAACAGCAATCCTGAATGACACCTCTACTACTACCTCACCCGAGGTCCAGATTTAGTGTGCTGATTGCTCCCACCCACAATTAAAGGAACAGAAGAACTGCGAGGAACAAGGACACTACTGCAGTCTAGGCTTCATTGGTTACAAACACGAAGCACTGGCTGTCATTACCTGAACCAGTATTAACCAGTACTTCGGAACTCTTCAAACAAATAGGTATTGCAGATGTTCTTAGGAGAACAGCATCAGTTGCCTGGATTGGTTTTATGGCTTTGCGCAATGGAGTATTGAAAAACACGGGGATACAGCAACACAGGGATACAGCTTCATGCGTAGCTTGTTCAGAAATACAGCCCTGTGCCTACAGCTTTAAAGTCAGGCAAAGCTTACCAACCTCCAGCCTAACTCTTCCAAGCTTAAGTTCGCTGTACTCAAGCACCTGCAAGACCTGCTGTTAGGGGCAACAGAGAAGAACCACCCATGAAGACCGCTGTTATAAAGTACTGAGTGCAGTTTTACACATGTAAAGTACAGCCACCTTTTCAAGTCAGTCATTCTTCAGCTTTCCCTAAGCCGCTGGTCAAATTCTCGTTATTAATTTGTGATCTTGTTTTCAATTTCCCCCTACCTTTTTTCCCAGAAGTTATAGCCCCTCTTCATCTACACCACTTTTAAGGGACTACATCATTCTTAAGAACACTTGTTAAGATTTCCTTTTTGCACAAGGTGCTTCATCAAATTTCCATAACTAAATCAAACTCCAGAACTTTACCTGGCAGGCAAAAAAACCTCAATCCCAACCCAACCTCAACACCCCCTCCCCCAAAGCCCCCAATCCTCCAAGATCCTGTCTGTCCAGTTGCAGTTCAGCCATGAGAATACTGTGACTAAAACCAGTACAACCCCATGTATTGCTGTTATTCAGGGCTACCTACTGATGTCCTTTTCCGTATCACTTCAGAAGTTAGAAAGTCATTCTGTTCTCTCAAACACAGTTGCTAAGTCATACAAATGGAATTTAACAACCAGACTTTTTCCACACAGTGATCATCAGTGAAGAACTTTAATCCTCCACTGCAGACTTTCAACAAATTAAAGGAATACAAAACTCTGTAATATCTATGAAGAGATTTTTATACCTTTGTAGCAGTAGAGAAACACCCTGTAGCATAGCTGCAAGTGCGTGGGAGCAAGCTATTCCCCTCTCTCATTGCCTTTCACTATGAAAAACAATACTAGTATGAGGCTTCTAGATTTTATCATCAGCTGAGGTGCTACTACTGAGACAACGCAACTTCTGTGCTGATACAAGCACAGGTTCCTTAAGGTGTGACGATTTTTTTGACTAAACCTATTAAATCTCACTGAAATCTAAAAAGGAATTGCTACATATCATCTACACATCAACAACCAGAACTAAAGACAGGCTGCAGGTAGTAATTAAGCCTTTTGCTAAAGCTGTAGTGGATGATATATACCCAAATCCCACAGATTTTGTCCAGGAGGGGCTCAGAGGTATTATTTGAGGGACACAAGCAGACAAGTGAAGACAGAAGGTGTTCTGTTTACCTGCAGTACTGGTTTGTGCCCCGAACGTAAAAGATGGCTTTGCCTGCTCACTTTCCTTCTCCGCTGGTTTAACAAAACTAAAATTGAATATAGGTTTTGCTGTGCTCTCCTCTTTGGTATGCTCAGCTGTCCCAGCTGAAAAGATGGGCTGTGCCTTTAACTCTTCATTGTCAGCTTTCTTTCCAAATGTTAATGGAGTGGCAGAAGTGACAGAGTCCTGTTTCTCTTCTGTCCTTCCCAAAACAAACTGTGAGGCAGGTGCAGACTCCACACTGCCGAAAGAGAAGCCTCCCTTTGTTGAAAGACTTTCATCCTTTTTCTCGTCTGACTTCTTAAATGGGAAAGCAGGTGATGCTGCCTCCTTTTCTGCCACAGTTCCAAAAGTGAAGCCACTGACTCCGGTTTTATTCTCGTTGGTAGCTATGGAAGAAGCAGAACTTGTGCCAAAACCAAAGCCTCCCAAAACTGGTTCCTCTTTCTTTTCCTGCTGTCCCAGGCTCGCTGTCCCAAACTGAAATGTTGAAGGAGCCTGACTGCCTGTAGATGGAATTCCAAAGGTAAAACTGTTACTTTTACCTTCTTTTTTACTGTCTTCTGATTTAGAATCTGAGGAAGAAACTCCAAATTTGAAGTTCCCTGAACTAGTAGGAAACTTAAATCCCCCAGTCACAGCGTTGGAGGATGCAGATTCAGATGCAATGCCAAACTTGAAGCTCCCTTGCTCTCCAAATTTAAAATTTCCTGTGCTACCTAACGTATGAGAAGATTCCGCGGAGGACGACTGGACACCGAATGTAAGTGATGGCATCGCAGCATTTGTGGACACAGCAGCAGTACCAAAACCTGCAGTAATAAGCAATAATGTTAAGTTTGCGATATATGACGTAACACATGTAGGCTTTAGCTACACATCTGGGATTCTAGTCCTAAGCTTCCCAGTCAAAATTGTCAAAAAAACTCCCGAAATTCCCCTCAGAAAAGCCTCCCACAAACCACAAACCAAATAAGAAAACTCCACACTTCCTCTCTACATACACTTTTTTGCAATGGTACTCTTCTATCCACCCCATGGCTTTGAAAGGTATACTGCTATCTTCTTTGAAAGATCATGTTTTTAGTCTAAACTCCAAACAAACAACACATAAGGCTTGTAAAGAACGACTATGTCATTAATGCAAGCTTTTATCTAAAAAGCATCCTCTTCTTCTGGGGAAAGCGTGTGGAAACATGGGCACATTACCTTACTTAAGTGATATTCCTAGACGAAAAATGAACAATTTTGCCATACCTCAAAAGCAAAACTAATTGTACTTTAAAAAAAAAAAAAAAAAAAATTAAAGAAAGAATAAATTGCAGAATGTGCACCCTTGTTTTTCTCGTTAAGTATTACCTTTGAGCTCTGCTTTGGTGCCTGGTTTTGCACTTTCACAGGCTACACATTTTGTGGCTTCTGCTTTGTTTTGGACCAAGCAGACCTCACAATCCCAGCTTCCTTCAGGCTTCTTGAATTTGTCTAAATCCAGAAATCCTCCAGAAGCAGCAGAGAATGCAGAAACACTGCTACTGGTCACAGGCACTGAACTCCCTGAGAAATAAGCAAGATAATTAATCATCCTGCTTAAATTATAAAGTGAACATGGAACTTTTTAAGAAACTCTTAAACGCTCACTAAATTACAAAGCAGACAAGTTTAACAGTAAAAAACCAAACTACAAGTTAATTTCAGTCAAACTCAATCTGAGAATGTAAACAATAGAAACACCTAGATTCTTCTTTATAATCCGTAGATGTTTTTAAGCACAAATTGAACCAATGACATTTAAACAGCAACTACAGTTCATACAATAGAGCAACACAGCCTATTTCAGATGTGAATTAAACATTCTGTAATCAACTAAAACTACTAAAAGAATTTCTGGTGACACAAGTAACCTGTAGTCAAAGTTAGTACCACCCAATGGTCACCCAAGTGATGTGAGGCTGAGAATTTACCAGAACGATTCAACACCAAATCCCACAGACATGTTCAGAACTACATCGAGGGGGGGGAACAAAACAAAACAAAACAAACACCCACAAAACCCAAAAAAACCCCAAAAAATCCACAAAACCCCGAAACAAACAAGAGGAACTCAGAACTTCCAAACCCACAACTCTGTGTTCGCCACACAAGCTACACTGTCCTCAACAGCAGCAGAAACCTCCATAAAGAGGCCGGAAAGACAACACTTGCCTTCCGATTTTTCTTCCCTGTAAAGGAAGAGATGTCACTTGATGCTGCACCCCAAGAGAAAACTTCAGCTCCCTAAGTGTGAGGAGTGAAGTGGACATCCAGAAGGCACAAAAGCACCACGTAATTGTCATGTTCGCCTATAGTTTTAAACCACTGAGAGTGGCATTTAAGAGAGGGGCAGAAGATAATGTCTCAAATTCAAAACAGTAAAGAGGGGAATAGGTCTTAGGTCTTCTCTTCCACAGCACATCCAGAGAATTTTTATCCTCTCATTTTACTTGCCTCGCTCGTCCCCTTGAGAGATGTAATACCACTGTGCAATTCTCTGCACCATGATGCTCATGGCAAAGCCCTCACATTTCCAAAACTCCTCCTTGCAATGGCTAGAGTCTCAGACAAAAGTGCCAGCTGATTGCTCGGAGGCTGAAAGTCCATAAGAATAACCTCCCTCTGAAATACATTATCTTATCTGAAGAAATTCTGCTCTTACTGTACAGGATGATTACAAAAGCAAAATCTAGTCCATCTCAGATTATTATTTTTTTTCCCTCCCCAGGATATATTTGCAAAGGTGTTTTGTGACATAACAGCATATTGAATAATGTTAACAGTCAATGAAAGTTAACACTAAAATAATTGTTTGTGCTTCAAAAAAATAAAGTCACCACACCCGAAATCAATTATAATTGCATATAATGGCAAACAACCCAGCGCTGCACTGAAGAGGGTGCCCACCTCCCCGAGGTCTGGAAGTACCAGAACAAGGTCACCCATGTTCCGGAAGGCTACCACCGGCCTTCACCAGCATAGCTGGACATACAGTTTGGGTTTAGCTTAAGATGACTAGTTAAAAGACTACACCGTCTTGAAATCTGGCTTCATACCTCTGCTCAATTACACACAAGTGCTGAGTGGAGACATCTTTAGCCATGTTCTGTAAATACCGTTTCCATTTATGTTTTGAAAGAGAAATAAATCCGATACATTTTTTACTTTTTCTACAGAGTTCACATTTTTCCCCAATGAAAATGAATAAGTTGGTTTTAAGTCAATTAAGGCACACCCTTTAGCCACCTTTCCTCCCCAGCGGCAAAGCAGGGTATATTTGCTTCAATTCAGCTCTGCACTAATACATTTCACAACCAGTTCAATTCATCTGGGCTGAGACCTCAAAAGCGCTTGTAACCATTCCTGCAGACAGGCACTAATCCATCCTGTCTGGCATACAGCCACGCTGCTGAAAATGTTTTATATACAACGTATTCTGTAAAGAATGCACAGATGCTGAGATTGAAACAACAGAAAAGAGAAGAACACACCTGGTTTCTCGGACTGACAAGCTACACATTTGCTGTCTTCTGCCTTATTTGATACAAGGCACACCACACATTCCCAAGAGCCTTTTGGCTTCTTAAATTTGTCTCCAAACCCCAGAGTGAGTGTTGTGTCAGTGGTGCTGGAGGAGGATGTCACTGTCACCGAGTTGTCTGGGACCACTGGCAATGTCAGAGCAGGCATTACTCCTGTTCCAGGCTTTGGTGTCTCGCATGCTACACATTTTGTAGCTTCGGGTTTGTTCTGGACCAGACAGGTATCACAATCCCACGTGTTGGGTGCTGTTTTAAATTTGTCTTCAAAGCCCAATGTCCCTGCTGCGGGGAGTGCTGCCTTAGAGGCAACACATTGAGTTGAGCTTATCGTCTGTTTCGTACTCTCAACTGTTGACACTTGAGCAGCTTCACATGTTACACATTTGCCATCTGTGGTTTTGTTTTGCAGGCATGGGTCATGTGTGTCAGACTGCCAAAATGAGGATGCTTGTTTAGAGGTGTCTTTACCTGCCGAAAAACTACTTATTGCAGGCCTTGTATAGACCACTGTGCTTGTAGTAGGCTGTGCAGATGTAGAGGAGTGTGTTTTCACAGACGTAAAGCCTAGGGGGAAAAAAAACAAAACAAAACAAAACCAGGAAGAGATCTTACTGATAGAGCAATGCCCTCACTACATGCAAGTTACTTATAATACCAGACAGCATAAATTTAAACCAAGTGCCAAGGGTTACAACTATACATTCCGACTAACCACAAGAGGAAGTCCCTAGAAATCTTATCTAAAGGTATGAAATTTCATATGCTGCACTGGGACACAACAGAACAGTTATTTAAAGCTTGATTTAACCCTTCGTTTCCAAGAAAGTTTAAAATACCAATCTTCACTGGTAGATGCAAGTGTGAACAAACAGTACTGAGCGCTGACTGCCTGTCATAGACTAGAAATAATCCAACTTCCTTTTAAGACACCATGCCCAATCGAATCAAATTTCTAAAGCTATTTCTGCCCTAGTAGATGACTCACATTTACTTTAGTAGCTCTACAGCAGTTGGTACTTGGAGCAGCAATCCACACGGTACTTGCCCACAGACACCGAGTATTAATTAATAAAAATGAAGACAGCAGGACAATTATTATCTATACCCTTTGTTCAAAATGCACTGGACACAGGTAGATTCCTTATTCAAAGGTGCCAATTTTAACAAAAAACAGAAACCACCAACACGGAAACACTAAAGAAAATGCTACGGCAATGCACCTTAAATAGCAGCACAAATTACTTGTAAAGCTAAAATGAAGAGTGTATTATTTTTATTATTATGTTCTTTTGGGGTTGGCTTTTTTTGTATCAGAAGTGGAGTCTTTGAACAGCGTAGATTTAGAACCTGCTTCTCAAAGTGATACAGAAAATTAATGTCACTTCAGAGGTCTTTCCTTAAATGAAACACGCAGTGTATTTTCTCTCACTTAGCTCTTTCCAATATAAAAAGGTGCTGACTTCTTATAAAGTACGTAGATTTGTCACTTCATAAAAAAAGTCCTGATGCAACTCAAGGCTTATGGGAAAAGATCAAATTCAGTAAAATGTTTTTTGTTTTAAAAGAAAGGATCATCTACACACACACACTTTACTAAACAGTTGAAAACAACTGCAATTACTTAAAATGAAAATTAGAAAAGGCTTTTCAAAGTGAAACAGCCCCCTTCAACTGAAAATTTATATGTGAATCCATAGCAACTGCTGTCATTTAAGGCCAAAAGATTTGCAGCTTTTGAAACATCTTTAGGAATGAAACTGTCTTTATTATTCTTCATTTCCAGAGATGGTGAAGGTGGGAGAGGTTTGTAAGGTATTTTACAAACATTTTCTTTCCAATTCCATAAATTTTAATTATTTGAAATGAAACACTGATTATTTGACTAATTCTCTTTGTACTTCATTTACAATTAAATCCTAGCACATAAAGGAGAAGCAATGCAGCTGGTTCAAAGTTGCAGTTCTCCTTTCAGCAATAAAAGCCACTTAGAATGGGAGATGAACCCTAACAGATGCAGCGTTTAATGTAATGTCTCCCCTATGTTTGTATTTATAGCTAATATTGCATTAACTGTGACAAAGTGCGGTTGGTTTTGTTGGGGTGGGGGTGGGGGTTAAAGATTAGTGCAGTTATATGCTAGCATACTTTTTGCAATTTATTTTTAAAGAGTTGATTATCTCACCAGGGCTTTTTAGAATGTCCAACACACTTCCTTCCTTTAAGACCTTCGCAGGTTTGGAGGGGCCATCGTATTCTTCTTTTTCCTTCTTATTGCTGGTGCTGTTTACAGTGGCGGTATCTTTGAAAACAAAACAAAGAATACCTTTCACAAAGATATCCACTTATAAAATATATTCACATTTTCTAGAAACAAGAATTTCCAAGTTTCATGCTTCTTATATAAGAATCTTCAAAATTCTACCTTGTTTACAACAGTTTATAATTACAATTTGGTTAAAAGCAGATCTGTCACTGAAAAGACACTTTGCCTGGAATTGCTAATATGCTCAGAAAGGATAGATTTACTATTTAACGTACAAAAAAAATGAAAATCAGCACTTCAGATCTGAAATGCTAAAGTTTCTGTTACCTAGAGCAAGTAAGGACGTCACCGGCGTATCACTGGATCCAGAAAGCTCTGCTGATTTTACAACGGGAACACTAAATGTAAACCCAATCTGCTATGAAAAAGAGAGAGTTTTTTTCAGATTCTGAAACTAAAGGAACTTTAATGAAGTTTCACACACAAATAATAATCTGAAATCCAGTCTTCAAACTTCTGGTATGCATACTGGATGACAAATTAGAAGCCAGAACCATATCTATTTGTTTTCCCCATTATCAGGGTCAATTCAGCTTTATTGTTCTACAATATTCTACTAAAGCCTTGAGAAAAGGCTGAGCTTTATTTATTTTACTTACAGACAACGGAGGTAGCACTTCCGCCTCAGTAGATTTCACAATTGGAGATGAAAACCGGAACACAGGACTGCCAACATTACTTGCTGGTTGTACCTGTATTTTCAAAAGAATTAAGGTTTGTATCCAAAAGAAAAACACCCTGGCAAAACAACAGTAGCTACCTGAATTCACTATCTAACAGACATTCTGCAGTGAAGTTGGGAAATCTGATATTTGATATTTATTTCTAATCCACAGGTAAGAGTTATAATAAAAGAAAGTGCAGCCTGCAAGTGAGCATATAGTACAGTATCATCAAAATCAAATCCCATAAACCAAGAGAAAAAACTGAGATGCTACTTATATCTAAATATACTAAATATATGGAAAAGCAGACCAGGCAGCTTAAGAACCTTAAACTAACTCAACTCAATTGTAGTCAGAGCTTCAGCAAATACCTCAACCTGTCAAAGCAGTCATCTGCTTCAAAACACACAAAAATATTTCAAGTACTCTGGAACAGATGAATGTTTATTTTACTGCAGTAATATTGCAGTTATTGCACCGTCAGCTCATATTCTACACTAGGCTTATATGACCATTAATGCTACCTCTCATTTAATAACTTAACTTAGCAGAAAATCCTCACAAAATCTCCATAGCATTTGAAGCAGTTATACAATTATGTTAACTAGAAGTTTGCAAAGTAGAAGATGGACAGAGGTTGAATCAAAACCTTTATGCTTTCCTCCTACCTCAAAGTTGGAATACAACCCCGATTTATTCAACAGGATCTAAAGTAATGTTGGTTAGTTTCATAAGCACCATGGAAGAAGTTAACAGGCAACAAAGCAGGTGTATACTCATCCTGAAAAAGTATTCACAATACACGACGACGATTCACCTTGTTCATCGCTGCTGTTGAAACAGTGCTTGGTGACGATGAGACAGTACTACTGGTAAGAAAACTGAAGCTGAACGAAGGCAGTGACGCAGTACTGATGGGTAGGGGTACTTTCGGCAGTACTGGCTCCTCCACTTCCTAGGTGTAAATTTTAATTGTTGTACATTTTAATTTTTCTCTTTTAAAAGAGTTGTAAATTTTAATTGTTTGCTTTTACAAGACATACTATCTTCCTAACCTGTCCCACCCTTAATTTCTTAACAAAGTTAGATATAAGAGAGATCTCTACAGATTGAGGCAAAGAAAGTTTTCAAAAGGAATCCTAACCTCCCCACCTCCATCTGCCACATTATTTTAATTTATGGCAGGCCTGTTTCCCTGCAATACTACATTCATCACGTGTCTAGTAAGAATACGGAAAGTTACCTCAAAATTATTACCTATGCAGAACAGAGAGGGGCAGAGATGAGACTTATTTTTGTTTTCTGTACTTTAGTTATTAAAGATCTAGGGAAACATCAGCCTTTCTAATTATCCTCTCATCTCTTCAATTAAGAGTACACTCTCAAGACAAATTAGAAAGTGTTCCTCATTCAAAATTAGGTAGGACAGCTGTCAAAGTTTCTGAAGTCACTACTGCAGCGTACTTGGAAAAAGATAACGTCTAAAGTAGTATATGAGTTCCTTAGAGTACCAAAAACCCCAAACCAAACCAAAGCACAAAACGCCAAAATAGAAAGCCTGACTAGCAGCACAGATGATCATACTCTGGTACGTCTAGTCTATACCACATATCAGGATGTAAATTTAAAACTCAGAAACCAGTGCACCTTAAAAACTTCTGGTCTTATCCTTGCCTTTTAAATCATTTGATTACCACGATTAGATTAGTTAGGGTTTAAAGAGGAATAGCCAATCTCATCACAATTTGCACAGTAGTACCAAGACCTACCCAGAAGTGACTAAGCAGAGATGTAAGTTGTTACTACAGAAATTTAATGTATCCTACAGATTACATCTTTCACATTTTTGATTTGAAGAGTCTATAGAATCATAGAATCATAGAATCATTATGGTTGGAAGAGACCTCAAAGATCATCAAGTCCAACCTATTGGACCTCGATATTCAGACCATTTGTATTATAGAAACATTCTCCAGTATTTACTATTTCTCTATTTTGCATCAGCCAGAAGAGTGATTTAAATTTTTTACATTTAAGATCCAGTAGTAGACAGCTTACATAACATCCAATCAGAAAAGTAATCTTTGGGCTAGCCATTGACCATAGTTTTATTAAATGGACTTTTCCCATTAAAACAAGAAAAAAACCCTCTCATAATGAGTTTGATTAAGCGCCAAAAATTGGGAATGATCATTAGCAGGCATGCAGAACACTGTCTTCTGCTTCAGACTCTTGGCCTGTATCTTTCTACATGACTTAAATATGAAATAACAAATTAAATAAACTTTGTTTACTTACTTGGCACTTGTTTCAAACGTCATTCCTTTATAAGAACTCTACAAACCTCCACCAAAATTCGTTCATTCAACTGCTAATGGGTAACTTTATAGTATGAAGCATCTCCAAGATAATAAGACTACAGATTTTAAAAGTATAAAACCAAAGTTGAGATACTTAAACAGAAAAATAAATTGGAGCCTGCCCTGGAACCCACAGCAAAAAACACACAAAACTGAAGTGGCATTATTATAAATTACTAAGAGGCAATAAAACTGGCATACTTAGCTAGTTACTTCAGTAATCTCAGTGAGAGGAATTAACCTCAGAGTCCCTTACCTGTTGTTCTTGTTCAGGTTTTGATACATAGTGTACTCCTCTCTCCCTTCTCATCTTGCCACCACCACCCACTCCTCCTCCTGAAGACAGACCGTTGGATGCAGGAGTACCGAATCTGGGGTAGGTCACATCGCTGGCATGGAATAACAATACACAGGTTCAGGAAGGAGAAAAAGGAGAAAAGGGACCAAAAAAAAAAATAAGGAAAAGGAAAAAAATAAACTTATCAACTATTTGTTTCAAGCTATTATAGCCACTCTTAGTCCTAGAACTGACACTTTCTAATCGTAATCACAAAAAAACATTGCACATTCTGCTAAATGGTGGTAAATAGCTGATGTTCTAAACAGCAAAAGCTGCATTAATAAGTGCAGCAATGAGGACATACATAAGAAACAGTCACAACATCCGTAAAGGAATGATGACTAAGCCAGAAGATCTGAAATAGAAAAACTGATTTAGATTGTTATTTTCTAATGTCTCCTTTTAATAGCCCAGACAGTGGAAATTTTGACTGTCAGTTCTCTGATTCTGTGATTAGCGTGTATCTTTGCAGGGATATAAAAGAACAACTAAAAATACATATGAGGTGGGAGAGAGACCACGCGCAAGGGTCTGCGTGTGCGTGCACACGAAATGCTGCCAATAGCTCTTATGGAATAGGGAAGCTTAAACTTGTGTGGCAAGGTAATACGGCAAAAGCTTCAGAAGCAGCTCTGGCTTTCCTGGGGCCATCAGCAGAAGCGGCAGAGGTGTTTGGATGTGCCAACATTCCAGAAGTCTTTTCAGACATGAATACAGATCTCTTTTGTGAGGCATACAAAAGCATTTCTCTGTTCATTACAAAAGCCTAGATACAAACCAGAAAGATTGCCTAATGTAAGTAGGAAGGGAAAAGAAAAACCAGAGAAACCTCAAAACAAACAAACAAACAAACAAACTTCCCCGCCCCCAAAAAACCCCACCTCACACTCCAAACCAGAAGTGAACTAGGGAATAACAACAATATAAAGCACTATGGGATCAAAATGAAGTATCCCTGGAAAAAATTACCATATCAAAGCTTATCCCGCAGCCAAGCAGTCAGTCATTACAAAAGTACATTTGATCACACTGGAAGACACCAGGTTAAGTTTCCAGAAGACTGAGGAAAAGAACTGGTCTAAACTCATCAGATACTTGCAAACAGTCTGCTTAGCACTGTAACCACTGAGAGGAAGCCAGATCCTTAAGGTCATATGCTCAAACTTTTCTCTGATGCAAACTGACAATCAATTCAAATTCTGGAAAAAAAAGTTACGTTAAAATAGAGCTTTATTCAGACAATTATAGCCTGTCTATAATAGCCTATATTCTTCTTTTCTGTTAACGCCTGTCAGTTTCTAAGGGACAATGACAGTTTTCGGTCTTCATGCAAGTAAGTCCAATCTACAATTCCGTCCCAGGTTTAAAAACTAAATAGCCTTTGGTAGGCTGAACAGAGATGTATCAGAGTACTGCAGATTACCTGCACGAAGGGACTCTGGTCAGCTGCCCCTTACCAGTGCTGTGTTCCTGCTCCAGAACATGACAACCAGCAGAGACCGACTTTTTATAAAAAAGGATTTTAAAAAAAGGACCAGCTACTCTACAGACAAAAGTAGAACACAGCAGTAAAACCTGTAAACCTAATAAAAAGCAGTAATCAGTTTTCTGGATCTCCCTTTTACATGGAGGAGAAGAAAGGAGTTCTACTTAAGAAAATATAGAAAAGTTCGAAAACCCACAGTTAAAACTCAACATCTGTTTGCACCTATGCCAAAACCTTAGAGCCAGTCTCTTACATCGCTGAAAAGGTGGTTGCTGTGAAGTCAACCTTTCTGAAGGTTTTTTTGCAAGCCAAGGACTGCCCAAGGCAACATAAGAATTGTCTGGAAGATGAACACAGAGACAATAAATTGCAATTCCCCGTTACTGTTCTTTGAAAGGGATGAATCCTCCAAAAAAAGTATCCTTTGAATGCAAAGTGTCTTAATTCAAGCATTACCCAAAAGACTAGCCGCCCAGAAGGGAGAGCCATCAATATTATCTGGAGGTGACGTCATTCTACCTAAACCAAGCAAGCGGTGTAATGCAAGACAATCTCCTCAAGAAGAAATACAACTATTAACTCTCATGGATTTTTGTGTTTTAGAGACAAGCAGACATTTGGCCTCAGATGATTCTAAAGAGCTCCTGTTTTTCATGCAAACTCACAGAGCAGACAAGTGACTTTGCCATGAAGGGAGCACTAAAATAAGATCTTCCTCCAGGTTTTTGCTTTCTTAAAAAGAACTAAAACTGAAGTACACTCCAGAACTGTAAGTCACTTCACCTTACAAAGAATCTTTCAGAAAGAGTAATTTCTTTCAGACAAAGCTTTCAGACTCCAAGCAATTAAATAATTAGCTGAAAGTAACAGGCTCTCCCCTAATGAACATCAAGATGCGCAAACGATTACAATCATAATACAATTTTTTCACTATATTTCCCATTTCCTTTACTGAGGACTGCTACTACCCTTCCAAAAGAAGACAGGCACGCAGACTGTAGTGACAAAGAAGAAAGCTTTCTTCTTTGAAGTGTTTTAAATTAAAAGATTTGTCATACCTTTCAGATGGTTTTACTCGCTGTTCTGCAGGAAAACTCTTCTCTCTCATGCCCTGCAAGTTAAGTTTGATTTATTTCAAGATTTATTTGCATGTATTTATAAGCTATACACAAAGTGAAGACAAACAATCACATGTTTTAGTTTGGGTTTTTTTCATGTATACTAGTAAATATACCTCACCTACTTAAGCTTGTTCCCTAACCACTATGACTATCCACTTTGCTCTCTGGCCTAAAAAGCCCACAGATTTAAAACCTGGTTATTTCGAAGTTCAGACTGGTACTAGAACCATGGGTGGTTTTTTTTCTGAAAGTGATGCCAATCTTGCTTTAAGGAAAGTTTATCAAGGACTCCATCTACACCATCAGATCAGAATGGGCAAATGATCACAATGGCTAATTGTCAGAAATCTCACTTGGACCCCCTAGCTCACCTGAAAAAGTGCATACACAACATCAGCATGTTCCAGCAATGACAGCTTTGTGTACAAGGGCATACAAAAAGGAACATGTTGTTTCTGTATTTTAACATTCTTTCACCGAGAATAGCCCGACCCAACAGCATGTCATTATATTCTGAAAACAACCACCAGCCACTTACTGTTCCAAAAATACAATTAAATCCATAAAACCTCAAAGTATCTCTTTCACAACAGTTCCCACCATCTTAATGCTTACGTCATACATACTATCTGTACTCTTTGCCAAAAAAAGAGCATCTTAGTAAAATAATTGGTTAGAGACATTCCAAGCTTGTAAAAAGTAGGCAGATAAGGACCAGAAAATTTACTTACTTTGTGTTTCGTATCTACCCTCTGGTGAATTTTGCTGGAATCAGTAGCTGGAGTCAGAGATGGTTTAAAATATTGGGTCCGACTCACTGACAGAGAGATTGCCGATGGGGTCACAAGTTTCTGAACAGGTGGATGCTGCGATTCCATCTTTGAAAGAGAAGCAGCAATCAATTTATCCTTGCACCGGCCCAAATTACCATTTACTGATGAAAAAAGTTACAGAACGATAAACTTCCCACCAGTCTCAGCACCCCGTGAAAATTATTTGGAAGCATTGAAAGCATATAGCTCGCAGAGGGGAAATCACCAGAAAAACAGTTATGAAATCCAAAAAGCTATAAAAGTCGCCAAAGTCTGACTGAATTCAACTTCAAAATATGACAGTCAACTTCACAGACAAAATAATTCATGTCACTATAATCAAAATAACTCATAACTCATGTTACTATACTATGATCCCATCTTCTCCTCTCCTCTGCCCACACTGTGATATTTTTTTGCCAGCTTGATCCATTAATTTAAAATTCAAAATGTTAAGTAGCTAATTATACAGGCTTCTGGGTTTCATTTTTCCCTACTTTTTTCTCCCTTGAAGTTACATTTTCAAAAAAAAAAAATTGTAGAATAATTTTAAGATAGTCTCATTCATTAAAATATATTCCAGTGTTTTAGATTTGCATCAGATGCACTTCAAGTACTGGTTTGACTTTCCTTGTCAAAGCATTTTCACAGACAAGAGTTAATTTTTAACAGAAAGCACTGTAGATTCTGACTTAACTGAATTGCGAAACAAGAAAGACCTCAAAAGGCTACAAGATTTACCAAAGGCTCCATCTGCAGTCTTAAGGATCAGAAGACTCAAACTTAGGATGCATGCTATTATTTAAATTAGTATCAACAGAAAACTGCATTTACAATGCAGTTTTAATTACACAGTATCTCCCAACTCTCGGTAATAAAATTTATGCTGTACTATCTATAAAGTGAATAAAAGTACTTCTTTCTAAAAATTATTATACTCATTTTGAAACCTTGAGTAAAATGTGGTCTAAGTTCACAACCCATTTTGAGCAAAGGATGGTCCACTGCTGCTTTTAAATGCAAACAGAATAGAATCATAATAAAATCGGAATCAGAATAGCAGAGTTGAGTTGGAAGGGACCCACAACGATCATCCAGTCCAGCTGCCTGGCCGCTTCAGGGCTGACCAAAAGTTAAAGCACGGTATTAAGGGCATTGTCCAAACGCCTCTTCAACACTGATAGGCCTGGGGCATCGCCCTCCTCTCCAGGAAGCCTGTTCCAGGGTTTGGCCACCCGCGCAGTAACGAAATGCTTCCTAATGTCCAGTCTGAACCTCTCCTGACAGGCGTGGCATTGAGCCATTCCCACACATCCTGTCCTTGGTTGCCCTCCTCGGGACGCGTTCAAGGACCTTCACACCCTTTTGACACGGTGCGGCCCAGCACTGCACACAGCACCCCAGGT